TCCCCGAGATCCGTTTAGTAGATTGGAAGATACGGTTTAATGCAGATTCGCAGAACATATACAGGCTATATGAAAAATAACTGTTAAATGTGTGCCCTTTTCTGTAGTTTAAAATTACTGAATGATGTCTTTGTGCACCAAATACCGGCGAGATGGCACCGTGTAGAAAAGTCAAAACAGTGTCTGAGTTAAAATGGCCACCATCCATTGTTCTCACCATGTGCTTCATCCATTGTTCTCACCATGTGCATACATGAAATGGTGGCCACCCGGTAACTCCACAGTTTGTCTGGTAGTCTATCTAGCCAAACCAACAGATGAAACATATGGGGAACAGTGCAACAAACGAAGGGAATCATAAAAAATATGGATAATAGTCATATTTGTGCACAATCTCCAGTTTTGTCACAGGGCACATATAGTGTTTTCAAATGCCATATATCCCAGGGCCATAGTCAGAAGGTAGGAGGCATGCAAGCAGCCCCTTCCAAGAACACGTGGCGAGGTCTGTTCTGCCACACTTGGTGTGGGCATTAAAGAAACTTGTATGGGTGGGACTTTACCCTTGTTACTGACCCTAACCCGTTGCTGTGGCTGAACTGGGTCGCAGGAGACAATGGCCAACTGTTACGCTGGAGCCTGGCACTACAACCATATGATTTTACCATCCAGTATCGACCCGGGAAGCAGAACGGCAATGCCGACTGGTTGTCACGACAGACTGACATCAGCCCGGAATAAAAGAGCTTGACATCCCCAGGTTGCCCTGAAAAGGGGTCAAGCTGGGTCTGCCAGAGTGTTCCACAAGGAGGGAGCCATGTAACAGGAACCCTCTGTTTTCCAAGTGGTTATGGTGTTTCCCCTTTTCTGCAGTGGTTATAGTGCTTCCCCTTTTTGTTGTAATGAAAGACACTTCGCTCCTGTAGTATGCAGAGAACAAATTGACAGTCTTTTACCTTGGAACTACTAACCCCTGTGACTTATTTGTTCCTAGAGACTGCCTGCTGGGACTTTTACCAATACCACTTCGAACTGTTGAAGTGATTCGAAGTGGTACTTCGAACAGTCAAAGTACCAGATCACCCATAATTGGAAGTGTGCAGCTTGTTAACCGCCCAGAAGCTGTGGTTAACCACAGCTTAATTGACGAAGGGATGGGTGGTCGCAGTTCGTATAGCTTAACACTTGGCGACAGCAATCTTGTTTAGTCAAAAGTGGCCAGCGATGTTTTGTTGTCGAGTGCATGGAACTAAAATCGGACACTCGACGGCACGAACACCGCTAGAATTTCCACCTCCAGCTAACTTCGACTAAATCCATACGAACAGAGCGCCGTTCGGTAAAAGTAATCTACCGAACACACTTCGACTCTGAATTAGTGCATGAACAGTCCGGTTTGAATATTCAAAGTACATTTTAATAATTGGAAATAGACCGACTGCACAGCCTAATTCTCTGGAACTATTTTGGGTACGAAACAGACTCCCATAACATTTCTGAACCCCTGCTCTGATCTGGGTGATTTTTGGATATGTTGTTCACCCAGATCAGGGCTAGCAGGGGATGTAATATTTGTGAGGTTCCCATATGTTTTTGGGGTGCTTTCAGAAAATGGGTAAAAACTTGTATTTTTCGTTTGGCGATAATTTGAGTTAATACAGAGGGGAGGTCAACACAAGTGAGCACTGATTGGTCACTGCAGGACGCCGGCGACCAATCAGAGCAGAATCACCCTGCTGTATATCTGATCACCTTGCTTTTTAAAGGGATCTGAGGTGGGACCAGTATACGTGTTAACCTTGTACCCCCTTCCCATTCTGGGGTGCCGACCAATCAGAGCAGGAGCACCAGTGGAAACAGGGTTTCACGCCCTGTCTTCTGATTGGGCAGCGAGACCCCCCCTCATCCCTGAGCGCTGATTGGCGAGAATAGATTTTGCGCCTTTCAGCGGATTGGTCCAATCGGGTTTTATGCCCTTTCCCCTGATTAGGTGACGAAACCCCCCTCCTCCCAAGCACCGATGGGTGCAACAGAGTTTTGCACACTCTCTTAGGATTGGGCAGCGAAACTCCTTCCTCCCCTGAATGCTGATTGGAACGATTTGGTTAGCGCCCTTTCTGCTGATTGGTTGTTGCGTGGTTTAGGCACAAAGTTTGCATTCACTTGACTAAACCAAGCAACGCCATGGAACTAATTTTGGGGATGTACAGAGCCTCAGGCCCTCAAGCCCCTTCGACGCTGATATCTCGCTCCACTTTTCTCCCCCCTGGCCCCCACCCTTCAGCGGTGGGTGGGGCCATAAATGAAAAATTGAGCCTACTGTCCTCCCCCCTGGCCCCCTCTATGGGTGAAAATGTATTTATTTATTTTTTGCCCGTTTTTTTTAAAGTGCATCGGTTATTATCGATTTTTATTTGGCCTTTTTTGGGGCTGAAAAAAGAAACGTTTCGAAGAAAGAAGACATCAAATGATAAGACTTATTTTAAAAATTTTTTTAACAGGTATTTAGAAAAGGGTCACGCCTCATTATATTTAGGATGAAGGGGGTAGGTAAGGAATATTTTATGGGGGGAGGGGGTGACTAGGGATTTTTGGACCCCTAGTATCCTGGGGGGGGTTACATTTTTATTTAGGTCCCCTCCTTATTGTTATTTAGGGCCCCCAACCGTTATGGTTGTCATGCCCTGATGCTCTCACACACACAGCCTGCCCATCCTGCTCTCACACACACAGGCTGCCCCTCCTGCTCTCACACACACAGCTTTCCCCTCCTGCTCTCACACACACAGGCTGCCCCTCCTGCTCTCTCACACACAGCCTGCCCCTCCTGCTCTTTCACAGCCTGCCCCTCCTGCTCTCACACACACACAGCCTGCCCCTCCTGCTTTCATACATACAGCTTGCCCCTCCTGCTCTCACACACAGCCTGTCCCTCCTGCTCTCACACACAGCCTGCCCCTCCTGCTCTCTCACACAGCCTGTCCTTCCTGCTCTTTCACAGCCTGCGACTCCTGCTCTCTCACACACAGCCTGCCCCTCCTGCTCTCACACACACAGCTTGCCCCTCCTGCTCTACACACAGCTGCCCCTCCTGCTCTAAAACAGCCTGCCCCTCTATCTCACCTCCTGCTCTCTCACACACACAGCCTGTCCTACTGCTCTCTCTCCACACAACCTGCCTCCCTGCTCTCACACACACAGCCTCCTGCTCTCACTGCCCCTCCTGCTCTCTCCACACACAGCCTGCCCCTCCTGCTCTACACACACAGCCTGCCCCTCCTGCTCTGCACACAGCCTGCCTCTGCTCACACACAGCCTGCCTCCTGCTCTCACACACAAAGCTTGCCTGCTCTCTCACACAACCCCTCCTGCTCTCACACACACAGCTTGCCCCTCCTGCTCTCACACACAGCCCCTCCTGCTCTCTCACACACACACAGCCTGCCCCTCCTGCTCTCATACACACAGCTTGCCCCTCCTGCTCTCACACACACCCTGCCCTCCTGCTCTCACACAAAGCTTGCCTCCTGCTCTCTCTCACACAGCATGCCTCCTGCTCACACACACAGCTTGCCTCCTGCTCTCACACCTGGCTTGCCCCTCCTGCTCTCTCTCACACACAGCATGCCCCTCCTGCTCTCACACACAGCTTGCCCCTCCTGCTCTCACACACAGCCTGCCCCTCCTGCTCTCACACACAGCCTGCCCCTCCTGCTCTCATACACACAGCTTGCCCCTCCTGCTCTCACACACAGCCTGCCCCTCCTGCTCTCATACACACAGCTTGCCCCTCCTGTTCTCACACACAGTCTGCCCCTCCTGCTCTCACACACACACAGCTTGCCCCTCCTGCTCTCTCTCTCTCACACACACACACACAGCCTGCCCCATCCTGCTGTCATACACACAGCTTGCCCCTCCTGCTCTCACACACAGCTTGCCCCTCCTGCTCTCACACACAGCCTGCCCCTCCTGCTCTCACACTTCCATCTTGCCCCTCCTGTTCTTACCCAATGGAGGCTTGCCTTGCTAACAGACATACTGAGCTCCGTCTATTTAGCTGAGACTGAAATGATAATTTCCAGAGATCTCTTTTGCTATGTTTGCACAATATATTGATCTGATTCTCCATGAACATAGATTTATAACATTTCGACCCACGTTGTACTGTACAGTTACATTGATTGTGTTATACTGTATGCTAGTGTACTATCTTGCTGTGATGCATTGTAGTATTGCTGCATTGTATTGTGCTATATATGTTATATTGTATTTCTGTGTAACTGTGCTATATATGTTATATTGTATTTCTGTGTAACTGTGCTATATATGTTGTATTGTGTTTCTGTGTAATGTTGTGTAACTGTGCTATATATGTTGTATTGTGTTTCTGTGTAACTGTGCTATATTGTATAGTTGTGTTTTGTGTTTCTGTGTAACTGTGCTATATTGTATAGTTGTGTTTTGTGTTTCTGTGTATTGCTGTGTAGCTGTGCTATGTATGTGTTGTATTGTGTACTATTGTTATGTATTTGTCTTATTGTTTGCTTCCTACCTGCTTTCTTTGACTGCTGATTGCCAGCTGGGAGGGAGAATTCGGTTCACTAGAAGGAAGAAAGAGGAAGAAGGAGGAGAGCTCAGGCTGCACTTTGTGCGAAGGACAGACTCCAAGTCTCTTATCTTCTCTTATTGCCAGCTCTGACTGAAATACAGCCATACAGTGCATTTTCCATTTCACCCTGTTCCAAATTATTATACAAATTCTATTTAACCCCTTAAGGACACATGGCGGAAATATTCCGTTATGATTCACTTTTATTCCAGAAGTTGTGTCATTAAGGGGTTAAGTGTCACAAAGATTCAATATTTTGTTTTTCAGTTTAACTCATGGATGGCATTGTGTCTCAGGGCTCTTTTGATCACTGAAAACAATCTCGGACACCTGTGATAATTAGATTGCCAGGTGAGCCCAATTTAAGGAAAAACTACTGAAGGAGGGTGTTCCACATTATTAAGCAGAGCACCATTTTCATGCAATATGGGGAAGAAAAAGGATCTCTCTGCTACCGAAAAGAGTGAAATAGTTCAATGCCTTGGACGAGGTATGAAAACCTTAGATATTTCACAAAAATGTAAGCGTGATCCTCGCACTATTAAGAGATTTGAGGCTGATTCAAAGCACAGATGGGTTCGTGCAGATAAAGGCACATTGAGGAAGATTTCTGCCAGATCCATGCATCGGATCAAGAGAGCAGCTGCTAAAATACCATTATATAGCAGCATACAGATATTTGAAGTTGATGGTGACTCTGGAGTGCCACGGACATCAAGGTGTAGAATCCTCCAGAGTCTTGCAACTGTGCATAAACCTTCTATTCGGCCACCACTAACCAATGCTCACAAGCAGAAATGGCTGCATTGGGCAGAAAAATACATGTTTTTTCAAACAGTTCTGTTCACTTACGAGTGCCGTGCAACCCTGGATGATCCAGATGGATGGAGTACTGGACGGCCACCCCGTTCCAACAAGCCTGCAACGTCAGCAAGGCAGTGGTGGAGTCATGTTTTGGGCCTGAATCATTGTATGTGGAGTTTCTGACTGACCACTTTCTTCCCTGGTACAGAAGGAAGAACTATGCTTTCCGTAATAAAATCATCTTCATGCATGACAATGCATCATCTCATGCTGCAAAGAATACCTCTGCATCAATGGCTGCCATGGGGATAAAAGGAGAGAAAGTCATGGTGTGGCCTCCATCCTCCCCTGACCTCAATCCGATTGAGAACCTTTGGAGCATCCTCAAGCAAAAGTATTATGAGGGTGGGAGGCAGTTTACATCCAAACAGCAGCTCTGGGAGGCTATTCTGACATCTTGCAAACAAATTCAAGCAGAAACTCACAAGTTCAATGGATGCAAGACTTGTGAAGCTGCTATCAAATAAGGGGTCCTATGTTAAAATGTAACGTGACCTGTTAAAATGTTTAAAAAGTAAAAATTTTGTTATGTTTGATTGCAATAGCTTTTGATTTATTTCAGTAAATATGCTGCAAACATAACAAATGACAATTTTTAGTTCTTTACAACCTATAAAGTATTTTGAAACTTACTTTGCGTAATAATTTGGAACATGTGTGACATGTCATGATTCCCTTTTATTCCAGAAGTTGGTCCTTAAGGGGTTAAAATACTGTTATCATTAGGTTTGTTCAATAACATTTGAATTGTACTCTTAACAGTTGATAACATGAGAATTATTATGTTATTTACATCAACTATTTAGGTAAATGAGAAAAACATAATTTGCATAATAATTTGGAACAGGGTGTATCTCCCAGCTCTTCATTAATACACTGCGTCTCCTTCCCCGTCCTACTCTTCTTCCGAGACACTGACTGAAATTGAATTCAGACTAGAACACAGCCCTGCCTCACACTCCGTATCAGACCGAGACTGGAACACAGCCCTGTCGCATGCTCCATATCAGACCTGTGACGGAACACCTGGCACCCTGACTGGAAACCTCTGCCAATCGATGCTTCCTAGCTGACGCTGAGGGCCATAAGCACCACACCAGATACCATAAGCACCGTAGACCCCACAAAGCTTGGGGTCTACCCTTCCCGTCCTGGACCAAACTCCTGGAGCCAGAGAGTATAGCTGTGAAGCTCTTACAAGAACTAGTGATATAGCTGTGAAGCAGGTTCCCTACAAGCACGAGACGAGGCTTCTTGTTGAGGATTAAGCAGAAATTGAATTTTAATGGTGCCACACTGGCCTTTTTTATGACAATCCCCAAGGTGTGCGCCCACATGGACCTTGCTGGGGACAAGAACACAAACATATACACCAATCCTAATAGAGTTACAATCTAAGGCACTCCCCCACGTAATAAAATAAGCCTTCCCCTTTACTTAGGAGATAATTGAGTCAAGTACTATACTAAACTCAATTGTCTCCAAACACAAAAAACACACATTTTTCCAAAACACCTTAAAACACATAAAATCCCCACAAATGTTAGAACCTCTGATAGCCCTGATCTGGGTGACCAACAATTTTATGTATTTGACCGAGCGCAAGCATGGTCCCATGCCCAAAACAGTTCCAGAGAATCAGGGCTTGTGGCCAGTCTAGTTCGGTACTTTGCAAACAAACAAACTACCGAACAGTCAGTAGTCTTACCATGGAGCTTGTTCCCTTCATCCAGATGAATGATCTCACCGAACGGTGTCCTTCTAAGCTGCATAGAAACTAACGCAGGCATCCAGCAATGTTCAGGAGTTTCTGTATCCGATTTTAGCTGCAGGAGATTCATGCCCAAACACCGCTGCCTGCATTCATACAAACAAGATGGCCGCCACCTTGTTGTTGTCTACAGGAATTGCGGCCACCCAGACGAACAATTAAAATACTGCGTTGAGAAATGTTCCAAGTTGTTAATAGGTGTTAACAAGCTCCAGGGTAGTCTCTGTTGCACAAACAGAGCCTGTTTGAAGTATTTTAGCCAGGTCTATTGCAGGGGCCATATTCACAGGGTAAAAGGCTGGCAAGTAGTCCCGTCCACAAGACCGAGACTGGAACACAGCCCTGTCTCATGTTCCGTTTCAGACCGAGACTGGAACACAGCCCTGTCTCACGCTCTGTATCAGACTGAACTTTATCTATATCCTGATGCTATGACTAATTCCAAATGGTATCTACATCAACACCTATTCTACAACTAATTTCTAGCCAATATAGGCTCTTCCTGCCTGATGAGATCGTCCACAGATCTCAGTGCTGTACTCTCACGTATACATGACAATACAGCACTGATGTGTATTCTGGCTCTAATGTAACAGCTCCTTCCTCCCAAGCTGCTTCCCTCCTCAGGTCATGTGTCTCGAATGCTCTATGTGGCTGCGCAGTTTTAACAGGGAATACTTTATATTTACCATTCAGCATGGTGTACAACTCCCTGTGGCAGTCTGCCAAACAATTACTGTCACAGATGCCCATTTCCCAATAAAATAATGCCAATAATCCACGCTCAATGCTGGGAGAAGACTGGTTTGGTCGAACAATATATCCAAAAATCACCCAGATCCGTTTGGTAGTTTTGAATCGCCATCACAGGTAAATTTTTGCCCGTCTGCAATGACGTGTTTTGTACAAAAACCTCATAAGTTAGAGGAAAGCTGACCAGTGTAGAATGCTCCCGTATTCAGTAGTCCATATCTTCCGAACACCGTTCCTGTAGGTGTATCAGAAATGGAACAGGCATGGTGACCGGTGTTCGGAGGAGCGCCTAGCCGAAATAAGTTCCAGGCACTTCACGACCAAGTCCCACTGCCTGCTTTCAGGACAAAATGGCTGCCATCCATTGTCCTGACCATGTGCATTCGCTTGCACGAAATGGCGGCCACCCAGTGGAGCATTAAATTGATTGGTTCCTTTGCGATTTTCGCACAAGATACTCCAAGTCCCACGTTCTAATGGGTCTCAGGGGTGGTCTTTGTTCGGAAACCAAATCCAAATAGACAAACAAAATTAAACAAACTCCTTTCTGTAAAAGTAGTCGAAAGTGATGGGGTTATTCCTTCACACTCCCACTGCTGGTTCTGCAGTTTTCTTTGCTGCATAATATTAGACACTGCCAACTTGAATGCCACGTCCTTTATAAATTCAAATGCTGTGATGTCATTGCCTTCTGTGTGCTATTGATCTTCAATTTACAGAGCAGAAGACAAGTATTTTAAGATATAAGAGAGATAAATATTTTAAGGTGTGCTGTGCCTTTAAGACTAGAAATTATTTTATATACAAAACCCACATAATTAGGTGAGTGTAATATTTAAAGTGCAAAAATCTATGTGCTTAATTTATACCGAAAGTGCACTTCACTCTGTGCTAAAAGTTTTGTATAAAGTGCAATTTTTTGTGCAAGAACCACTATGTCATGCATAGAGTAAAAAACACTTACTTAATTGTAGTGGAGTGGAAGTATTAACTGCAATATCTCTGCTGGTAGACTTAATCAGCATTCAAATTAAGTGTAGCATGACAATTCCAACACAGCTTTGGGAGCCAACTGATTTTTATTGAGCCACATTTGGCTTTTATGCAATTCCCCATGCAAGGGATTTCTTTAATTACATTCCAGGGGTTTTCCCCGGGAGGACCTTGTGGAGGACAAGGAACAAAGACCCATTTCCCATGATCCTTTTCTGTACTTGGAAGATAATTGCGTAAGAACAATTCTTTAATTAGATTATCTCCCAAGTAAAGAAAATTAAACAATATTTTAAAACATCATAACTCCCATAATATTAATCAGAACTCCACAAAATACTTCACTGAATAGCAGGGATCTGAGTGCCCAATCCTTTAAAATACCGCTCAGATCTGTTTGGTAGAACAGGAATGCCATTCAAGTGAAGATTTAGACCGGTCAGCCACAAGGCAAAGCCCCAAAACAGTTCCATGCGGTTGAATGCTTTGAACGGTCTTTTTTCGGGAGTTCCCACGATCAAACTAACGAATATCACTGTTCATAAACTGGGTAGTCGTGTGTCTGATGGTTATTCATTCAATTTGGTCGAATTCCGTTTTTCTTAAACGAAAGGAAATGCACGTACGAACAGGATGAAAGTTCAGCGGTGTTCACGAGGTCGAGTGTCAGATTATAGTTCCACGCACTCAACGACCAAACACCGCTGGGCGTTCGTGCGCAAAGATGGCCATTTAGAACCTTGCGGTTTTAAGGTGTTAGCCTCAATTGGAGACACACACGACGCCTCTGGGTGGTCTCCCTGTTCGGTAGTTGGTTTGACTGACGAACAATATGTCCATATTCTGTTCGTGAAGTAGAAATAGCCAAACCAACTCTGTTATAACCAGTCTGTTATACAAATAAGTGTTTTTTTGCCACATTAATGGTATGCGATATTCAATGTACATAAAAAGGAAATAACAAATATATAGTGTAATTGTCACATCCTGCCCTGTTCTTGTTTTCCTCATGTCTTGTGTACATGTTCTGGGTTCTGTTGTCTTGCTCTGGTTCTGGGTTCTATTAGTTCTGTCTTGTTTTCATGTTTGGTGCCTGTTCTAGTCTTGCCTTGTTTCTGTACTGGATACATGTCTGCTTCAGAGCCCCCCTATTCAGTTCCTGGGATCCGCTGTAGCTGCATCAGGGTTCTGGTATGTGGCCGCGCAAACGCTGGTGCTCAACACCAGAGGGCATGTGGTTGCCCTGCACCAGGCCCTGATAATCTACTTCCATGCTGAAGACTCCCACTTATCATCAGGCACTAAGGGGTCCCGGTTTCCGTACCGCCAC